TGCTGGGAGAAGAGGAGGGGGAGGTGCGAGGACGTTGCACTGCTGCTGCGGGGAGGGAACGGTGGCGCGCGTGTGTGGGAGTCTGGTGGTCCTCTGCGTTGGGTGCCGCAGGGCAAAAGAAGGGGCGAGAGCAGGAGGGTGCGCCGGAGGTGCGAAACGACGCTGGACGGTGCTGCGGCGCTCTGCAAGACCTTCTTTGGGGCCTGCGCCCCCACGCAGCGGGTGGTGTGCGTCAGCGCGGGGAGGGCAGCCGCGCCTGCGCTACTCACTCGTTGGGCTGCTGGTTTGCCCATGCAGCCGCAGCGAGCAACACAGACCACACATATTTGCTTGTTTTTTGTTTGCGTGACGCCTGTGTGGGGGTGGGGCCGCCTTGGCGTTGCACCTCTCTTTCTTTAACTTTGCATCTACCCTGCGAACACAGACTGTAGAAACACACACACACACCTTTATTGTTCTTCTCTCTCCCTCTATTTCTAGGAATACTTTGAACGGGCTTCATCCGGGTGCACTTTTTTATTTTATGTGTCGTGTGTGTAGCTGATGTTCAAGTTGTGGGGTGGTGATTTATGCTTTTGAGTAGGACATTGTCTCTTCTTCTGCCGTGCATGCGTTGGCTAGGTCAATATGCCGGTTATTATATATATATATATATATATTCTGCCATGTGGGCGTGTTTTTGTGCGAGTATTTTCTACCATTGTTAAAATTGTTTCTCGGGGGTGCGGGGGTGTTGAGGTATGGGATGCCGTTGGCTTTCGTACTGATTAGTTAGGTCCCTTGTGGCGTGATTCTTCTTGCCGTGAAAACAGAGGAGGGATTTTGCGTTTTTGCCTCTCATTTCTACCAAAAAGAACATACAATATATATTCATGTAGGGAAAATGTATGGGTATCTATAAAAGCGGCAGTAAAAGCTATCTCTCTATCGCACCCTTCTTAAAGGGGCAAATCGGTTTCTGTTACGTTCTTGGCGGGATATCGTGACGGAAGAGGTTCGGGGGGCCTTTCGTCATCCCCTCAATGATTCCTTAACGATGGAGGAAGTGGATTACGAACTTCTTCTCAGGTGGGAACGGGCCGCTGCCATTCAGACGTACGCCCAGAACATGTACTGGTTTCATTTCCGAGATGAGGTTTCTAAGGAAATGATGCATCACTCTCTTGAAAGAGATTGACAACGCATCAGGGAGATGGAGCGTTGTAATCCCGTGGGGGCTGCAGAAAGAAAAAACGCTGGAGGTGATTGAGTTTAGGTCATCGATGTACCATGTGCATTCAGATTACCACGCGAAGATTGGACAGAAGCCGCTGACGCATAGCCGTAATATTTGGAGGGCGCGTGGACAATATGGATCTGACATTGGAGGTCCCAGACAAAAGTTTTGCGTCCGTCGCTTTAAGGCCTTGTTTCCACAGGGTTGGTGATTGCACCAAACTGTGTATGAGGTGTTTTTTTTTGGGTTTTGTAGCTAAGTGGAGACTTCTTTTCTGCTTCTTGTCCAATATTCTCCTGGTCGTGTGGGTCTTTGCCTTTCGCTTTACCGTACATGTTTCCGCTCTTACCGCCACCGCGGAAAAGACGGATGTGAGTCTTGTATTGTGTTTTTACTCTGCTTTCTCTTTGACGCCGCCAAATTGGTGTTTGAGTCGCCTGGGAAGCTGTACTAAAAGAAAGCAGCGTACTCACAGAGGTGGAAGCGGGAACAGGAGGGGTATGAAGTAGGGGTTCAAGCAAAGTTGCGCCAGTCCATGCTGGCCTTGTGTTGCTAGTAGGGACAAACGTGACGGTCTGGTGTCATGAGCCCCACGAAGGACGGGCGTGATAAGTCGACGGGGCATCAGTTGCGATCAACACTGGTGGTGGTGTCGAAAAAGGGGGCTTCACCGCTGCCTTAGTCGATGTGAGGCAGACGATGGTGCGCGGATGCAAGCTGACTGCACTGGCCCTGGTGAGTATGCAGTTATTGCAATATTGATGAATTTTGCAGTTTTTCTTTTGGTGGTGGTGCCACTGCAGTGAAGGACCTCAAGGCTGAGCGAGGCTTGGAGTTTTGCGCCCTGGATTTTGGATTCACTAGAGATCTAGCTGGAGGGTGTCTGCAAAAAGTCCCAGGTGATAATGGGATGTTCATCTTGACCCAATTTGATTTGGTGCCCTCATCAGGGTTTTTGATTGTATTTTCATTCTCTTTCTCGTATACGCTTGTTGAGGGCTCCGTTTTGTTCAGTGCAGTAAAGCTCCGAGAGCTAGAAACGGCGAACACGCATTGGTATCATCATCTTTTTAAGACGTGGTCACTTGAGCTTTTGAGGCCTCGGGGTATGCTTAGTGGTGGTTGCATGCAGCATTCTCGATGCTGTGGGGATGCCACGCTTTTGTTCTGCACCTCCTAGAAGGATTAGTGCGGGAGGAGCATTATCGTAAAAAGTACAAAAGTTATTTTAGTAACGAGGAATTAAACTCGGATGCCTTTGCAGACTGCATTGAGCATATTGCAAGCCATTTCTGCAGATCCTCCGCGTTTCTTGAAAGCGATGTTTGGGGAGCCGTGATGACGTCACTGATTGTTTGTTTGTTTGTTTTTTTTCTCTTTTTATCATCTTGTTCGAAAAGCGTAGCTCGTAGGGCATTCCGTGTGTGTGCGTGTGTGCAAAGTGAAGGATTTTTAGCTTTCATTGAGTATGCAGGAGGGCCGGCGTCCATTGGTGGTCCTTGTGGTGGGAATGGCAGGGACGGGGAAGACGACGCTGGTGCACAGAATGCAACACTACGCGATGGAAGAAAACAAACAGGCTTATTTTATTAATTTGGACCCCGCTGTTGCAGAAGTTCCCTACAATGTGAATATTGATATTCGCGATACTGTCAACTACAAGGAAGTGATGAAGCAGTACCGCTTGGGACCCAACGGGGCCATCATGACAGCGTTGAACCTTTTTGCCACCAAGTTCCATCAGGTGATTAGCATTCTTGAAAATAAAGATAGTTTAGAATGGATTGTGGTTGACACACCTGGTCAGATTGAAGTTTTCACGTGGTCGGCTTCGGGGCAGATCATTGCGGAGTCACTCGCAGCGATGTGGCCAACCGTCTTGCTCTTTGTTGCGGACACTACGCGCTGTGTGAGTCCACAAACGTTTATGAGCACCATGCTGTACTCGAGTAGCATAATGCTGAAACAGCAGCTTCCCTTGCTCCTAGCTTTCAATAAAACCGATGTCGTTTCTTCGGATGGAGCTGTCAGTTGGATGAAGAACCCCGATACGCTGGCGGATGCAGTCAACAGCGATAACGAGGGCAACTACGCCGGGAGCCTCGTACAATCTCTATCGTTGTTTACCCATGGATTTTATGAGGATATCCCTGTTGCGAGCATTTCCGCAGCATCCGGCAAAGGTGTGGAAGAACTAGAGCGAGCCCTGGCGGCAGCTAAACTCCAGTACCTTTCAGATCGGGAGCCGGTGTTGAAAACGCAAGATAAACTGCGAAATGAAGAGCGCGCCGCGGTTACAGAGGAGATGCTCCGCGCCTATGAGCGCGACCAGAAGGACGATTAAGTGAGGCACCGGGAACGCAACCTGAAACCGCGCGGAATTTCAATGTTAAACGCAATAAGGTGGAATAACAATAAAGATATGTGCTGCTAAGGACGTTTGTTCATTTCAAGGAACAAAAAGTGTTTTTGAATAAAAGGAAGCTTCTGGGCGCGCGGCGTGAGGACACGCTTGGGGAAAGAAGGGGACAGCACCAGCCTTGCTCTTTTTTTTTCTCTCTCTCTTACTCCTCTGCCCCTCTCCCCCTCGCAAGGCGGACCAAAGGCACCAAGCGAATGGCGGCAGTGGACCACGATCAGCCCTAACCCACCCGCTTACGGGCAACATGCCGAAACGTCGCGAGAGGGAGGGGGGGGGAGGGGGGGTTGTCGAGCGAGAGCCCCCCGTGCGGTGGGTGTTATTGTCCGTTTTTTTTTTTCTTGGTTAGAATCGTGTTTTCGTTAGGGTTGGCGTTTTTGGCTTGGCGCGTTCTGGCGGTGGTTGCGCGTCAATCTCCACGCACGAAACGGACGCGGACAGTGCGAAAGTTGGTGTTTAATATATCGGAAGTTATTATTCATTTATTCGAGACGTTTATTTTTATTTTATACTGCAGCAGCTGGCGAGAATCATTCAGGTTATGACGGCTTGCAGGAGTAAATGGCCGAGGCTCCATGTTTGTTAACTTGAGAACGCAACCAGTAAAATATGTTCTTTTCATTGGTGGCTTGCAGATTGCAGAATGGACAATGTTAAGGTCCATCCAACTTTTGCCGTCCCGCACGGGAGGCGGGTGAAAAGCCGTTTTTAGCACTTTTTTTCCTGCAATTAATAATAATCTGAGAGTTGCTTCGTAATTTTCGGTTGCATTGAATTAACAATCATGTGTGTGTGTGTGTGCGTGTTGATCATAATAATAATTAACTTTTTTTTTCTACTTCTCTTTTTTTTTTTTTTAGACTTATTATTTGTCGTTTTCATTATTATTATTTCTTTTTTTGTTGTACATACAGTTAAGTTAGAGAGTATTTCTGTTGATGTCATGGAATGATTATTTATCAAAAGAGAGGGAGAGGGAGAGGGAGAAAGCGAATGAAAGTTTACCCAATGGGATAAAACCATATATGTCAATTTACTTCCTGGTGGCTGTGCTCTACTTCATGGGGATATTTACAGGTTTCTGGCTTAGAACTCGTCTAAGATGTATGGTGGAAGCAGTAGAGCGCTTCTTGGCTTATAATAGGTTCCACAATCCAGCATGGTTAGAGCCGCTTAACCTCCGTGGGGCTATAATGTCTATCACAAGCGCAAATACCATGAATAACATCATCACTTTTAAACGATATGAGACTCTTGAATTAATATCACGTAGTAATTATGCATTGCTATACGACAAGAATCTAAAAATGGCTTTGTGGTGTGGTTATTACTTGAATTCACGAATGGTTAAAGCGGCGCGTAATCATCGCAAAACTCATGTTTGTTACACAGACAAGACTTTACCAAAAGAAATTCGGGTACAATCGATACACATGCAACGGCATGCGTACGATAAAGGACACATGGCTCCACTTGCATCTGTGGCAACGTGTAGCACCACGACTTTTGACGCTTCTTTGGTTTCCAATTTTGTTTTGCAACATAAGGCTCTTAACCGAGGAATATGGAAACGATTAGAACATCTTTCACGCCGATATGTGGAAGGCTATGATGTCTCGACCTTGGGCGAGTTATTTACTGCAAATCAATATGATAAATCATTAATTTCATTGAGAAGGCGAATGTTTTGGACATCATCTAGATGTCTAGCGATATCAACAGGCGTTTTGTTTAGAAAGGAAAGCAATTCCTTGCATTCCCTGCTTCAACATGACAAACAAGTTGTTCCTATCCCAGATGAATTGTATATGGCCTTGTGGGACGTTCATTCTCATCAGCATATTGCTTTTATTGTACCTAATGATGAAACTGCCGCCGTACAATCGTTAAAGCTCAAGTGCTTGAATGAGGAGAAGCAAAAACGACGAGTTTCTCTTGTAAATAAAACTACATTTCGAGGGTTAGGACCGCTACACAAACATGTTAAAAATCCTTTTGGACAAAGGGATCTACATGAAATAAACCGGTTTCGTGTAACACTCAAAGAGTTGGAGGACCGCATATCTCTGTCAGAGCGTGTCATTGCCGAGAAGATGCTTTGCATGCCCCGTGACACACGTGGAACGGAATTCATTAATAAAACAAAATGTTTGGGGCAACAAACGTGTATTTTAGATTATGAAACACCCCCTGTGGAGCTCTTTTCTCTTCAAAAGAGAAGACTTGCCTGTAAAGCGGCTTTTACGCGGTCATTTTCGTTTGGTATATTGTTGCCTTGTAAACTAAAATGAATGGCCTTTCGTGTGAAACTTATCCCTTTTCCACGTAGGTGGCAGGAATAATAATAAAATTATTATTATTATTTTTCTTTTTTCCTTTTTTTTTCCTTTTTTTTAAAAAAAGGGGGGGGGCAACTATTTTATATATTGATTATTTGCTTAAACATGAGAGGTTAAAAAATGTCAATTTAAATGATGAAAAACATACACCAGTAACAGTTGGAGTCCTTGCGAACGCTGTGATGTGATTACTTTGTGTTTATTGCGCGTTATTATTTACTATTAAACTTCATACCTCACCTTTTGGAGTTGCAGGGGTGGGGGGATAATATATATAAAAATGCACTTTTTTCACCTTATGAGCTCCCCTCCTTCTTTGTAATGTTTATCTGCTTATTTCGTTTACATGTTTCCTTTTGCTTTTCTTCATCCCGTTATTCCGTCTTTTGAAAGAACGAAAGAAAAGCAAAACCAAAGCGACAAGAGCAACTATACAATTTATATATAAGCAAAGAGAAGAGGTAAAAATGACACAAGTACGAAATATTCTTCCCGATGATCCCACACCTCACCATTATAAGATAACTATCTTGCCGGACCTTGATGCTTTTTTGTTTACAGGCCATGTTGACATACAGCTAACGGCAAAACGAACTCAAAAAAGTATCACTCTTCACTGCAACGAGTTATCCCTCGTCAAGGTGACTCTTACTTCTGCAGGAAATCCTTCGGCAGTGGAAACAATTCCTGCTGAGTCTATTCTTCTTGATGCATCGGAAATGAAAGCAACATTTCTTTTACAGACACCTTTTATAGGAGAAGCTGTTCTCTCAATTGACTATACAGGAGAGATTAATGACAGACTTGCCGGTTTTTATAGGAGCAAATACACTGTCAAGGGAAAGGAATGTTACATGGGCAGCACACAGTTTGAGCCTGTGGATGCACGTCGTGCAATCCCTTGTTGGGACGAACCGGCGGTAAAAGCGGTATTTGAAATGATTATTACCGCGCCCTCCAATTTGCTGGTACTTTCTAATATGCCGCATCGTCATAAGGAAAAGGTTGGTGATAAGATCCGTTGGACATTTTATCCCACACCTAAAATGTCAACCTATCTTCTTGCCTGGGCGATTGGTGAATTTGAATACGTTGAACGCCGCATTAAAAAAACACATGGAGTGGAAAATGGACAGCCTGAGGACACCCTTGTGCGTGTTTTTACGCCTGAAGGAAAGACGCCCAAGGCTTCTTTTGCCTTGGACGTTGCCTGCCAGGTGTTGCCACTTTATGAAGAATTTTTTGAATCCAACTACATATTACCCAAAGCTGATCTTCTTGCTATACCTGACTTTGCTGCGGGTGCAATGGAAAATTGGGGTCTTATTACCTATCGTGAAACAGCCCTTTTGTGTGATGAAAACTCAAGTGCCTTTCAACGTCAGTATGTTGCTATTGTGGTGGCACATGAGTTGGCGCATCAATGGTTTGGTAATCTTGTGACAATGCAGTGGTGGAAAGAACTTTGGCTTAACGAGTCTTTTGCCACTTATATGGAATATTGGTCTATAAACAAATTGTTCCCTGATTGGCATGTCTTTACACAGTTTGTACATCAAGAAAACTCACGAGCTTTAAAACTGGACTCATTACGAAGCTCGCATCCTGTGGAAGTGGATGTTCAAAATGCAAAAGAAATTGATGATATTTTTGATGCAATCAGCTACAGCAAAGGTGGGAGTATCGTCCGTATGGTCGTTAATTTTATTGGAGAAGCTGCCTTCCAGAAAGGTATGACTGCGTATTTAAAACATTTTGCATATGGAAATGCCACAACAGAGGATTTGTGGAACTTTTTGGGCAAAGCAGCAGGAAAAGCATTGGTGCCGATCTTGAAGTCTTGGACGGGCAAACAGGGTTATCCATTTCTCACGGTTGCTTCTTCGCCGGACAAACAAACATTACAAATAATACAACATCGTTTTTTTGCCACTGGTGACACTTGTGAAAAAGAAGACGAAACTGTATGGAAGATTCCCTTGATGCTTACCACACCAGAACATGGCATTCAGCGTTATGTGTTGGAGGAGCGAAAAAATTCCTTGACATCCCCGCATCCTTCATGGGTGAAAGTAAACAGTGATCTCTCTGCGTTTTGTCGCGTATTGTATGAGAGTGAAGACCTGCTCCAAAGCCTACTTTCTGCTGTGGCAGCAAAAAAACTCTCTAATATTGATCGACTTGGTATTATTTCTGATTATCATGCTTTTGCCCGCGCTGGATACTGCGGTGCAGTAAAGGTGTTGCAACTTCTTTCCTACTATGTGGATGAGGATGATTTCACAGTATGGTGCTGTATCATTGACTTTGAAACGGAATTGAAGGCAGTTGTGGCAACCCAAGGTGAGAAGGCTTTAAATGCGCACAACACTTTCTTCCGAAAATTGTACTCCAATGCTATGAAGAAAGTGGGATATACCTTCAAATCTGATGATGATCATAATGTGATTCAATTGCGCGCCTCACTCTTCACGCGCCTTGTGGCTGATGAAGACGAAGAGACGATCGCATACGCTCTTAATTTATATGCAGAACGCCAAACAACACCAATAAATTCAGATCTTCGCTGCGCTGTCGTCAGTGCCTTTCTTAAGAGGAATGGCAGAGCTGCGTTGGATGAAGTGAAGATGCTTGCCGAAACGGCATTGGATGCGATGGAACGAACACACTATCTTCGTGCAATGGCCTCTTCAAAGGTGGATGGATTGGTGACTGAGCTGTTTGAATACGCCTTTTATGGAAAGATTCGCAGCCAAGACATTGTCTACATCCTTGGCCCTCTGGCTGCCAATACGGAGACGTTTGAAGCGTATGCAAGCGAGCTTAGGCGCATGTGGTCACTGCTAGTGAAGAAGCTCCCCGGGCTTATCCTGGGTGATGCAGTAAAGTTTATTGAACATGGGGCTAATAAAAACGTGGCAAATGATATGGAAGCCTTCTGGAACAAACTTGACGAGGGGGATAAACAGGGAATGTTGCGCAGCTTCCAGCAGGGACTTGAGGGGATACGTAATAATGCAGTCTGGGCCTCTCGTGACGCCAAGGAGGTTGCAGAGTTTTATTTCAAAGCGTATAGGTAAGCAAGTTTTGTCACACCCTTTTGCTTTGCAATTCTCATTGAAGGGAGTATTGGAGTCGCGACGTATGTTCAGGATGATAAACATGATGGTTACTGTTTGATTTTGTACGCTGGAAAGGAGGCAAAGGGTAGAAAAGCTGTAAATATAACTCGTAGCAATCTTAAAGCTGAAGCACGCGTCCAAATACGGAAGCACTTACTATCATTATTATCATTGACATTTCTTCTTTTGGAGGAAGTGCGTGCTTAGATTGGGGGCAAAGCGGGCGGTAGTACATTTTTGTAATGCATTTTTTTTTGTTTGTTGTTTGTTTGTTTTCAGCGGTAGTGGAGGGTGGCGACCGATAATTCTTTTTTTTTCTGTTTGTTCTGTTGCTTTTTTACTTTGCGTATTCAGATTTATTATTTATTTTACTACTATTATTATTATTATTATTTTTTTTTTGGCGCGTGTTATGCGCTGTACTCATCCAGTGGGGAAGGGGCACAGACAGAGAAGGGGAACTAAACTGTATACCATTACATGTTGGCGTGTGCCGCTCCACACTGTTGTTTGCGGTCATATTATCAGTTACCTGGCCGCATAATACAAAGTAGAATATAGGAGGGGCAACATTTAACAACAAGGGGGTGATGAGTGTTGGGAAGAAAATGAAAGGGTAATAAAAGTTCACAGTGATTTGAGGAGCGGGGACCTGTTTGTGCCTCACTTCTACGTACCTTTTTTTAAAACATTTTTGTTTTATTATTTTGCGCGTGGTACTTCATTTGTTACGCGTGTGGCACATTACACAGTTGTAGCGGCCTCTGTGCCTCGTTTTACAAAAGGAACGATGCGGTACAAACTTGTGAAGACCCCAGTGCCTTTCCCACGCCCTCCCATCAGCGGCGTTCCTCGTGAAGAGCAGCCCTACTGGTAGCGGAACTGGGTGGCCCTTTACGTCATAATGCACCTCTTCTCATTTGGAGTCTTTATTACACCGTTTGTGGTGTACAGGTGGCATGTTCCATCAGCCGGGAGAAAGGCGAAGAGAAGGACTTCTAAGCGGGGCAACTGATGGGCGGAGTGTCCACAGGCGAAGCCCATCATCAAAAACGACGACGACAGCAACAAAATGTGCATATGCGCACATGCGTCTACTCACCTATCACACGACATCAACATGTGATTACAAGAATGTTTAAAACAAGTGGGTAGGAGAATTAGGGGTGGGCCCCTCCGCTTCGTCATCATTGTCATTTATTTTTTTTCACCTGCGTGCACAAAACAAAAGGTCTAATTTGCTGCTCAAAACAGGAGTATAAATAGCAAGGAAGGAACTATGCGCCGTCTAACGTGTTGCCAGCAAACCAATTATTATTATTATGTTATTTTGCTTTTTCTTTTTTTGCATCGTTAGCCTTCTCTCTCTTTTCATTATTGTGGTTCTCTGACTTGACAGCCCGCAATTATTATTATTATTATTATTGTTTTATTGTCGATTTTTCTGCTTTCCCTCTCCCTCTATTGCTGCTGATGGTGGATATGTTTCCTACTTGTTTTGTATTTGAATGCTGTCTGTGGTCGAAGAGGAAAGGGTAAGGCGATGTGAGACGGAGGACGATTCACACGCCGAGGGTTTGCTTTAGCAAGCAGTCGTGATGTTAATTAACAGCATATATGTGTTCTTTTTTGTGTCTTTATTGTCCCTCCGCTCCTCCTTTTTAAAAACAAAAATAATATTCTTTGGGATTGCCGTTGGACTTCAATCATACAGTTGCTTCATGAACACAGGCAAGCAAGCTTGTAGTCGACTTGTAAATATGGCTCGTGTATGCAAACGCAAGGTGGTGCAGCATGATTTCTACGACGAGGCCGAACAGGTTGCTGGAGTTGTGCTTTTGAACAGTCCAACAAACGATTGCTGGGAGTATGAGGAATATTTGCGACTCTTGTGTGTGCGGCGGTTCATTCAGCGGCAGCCGGAGTTTCCCGTCAGCCGGTGTTACTTTGTTTGCGCAGATGGAGCCTACCCCCGACTGCGGGCGTACTTTGAGGAGGAGCAAAGGCGTCGTCCGGAATTGCAGTCGTTTGCTCATGTTCCTCTCTGTGACGTTGTTATTGGCGATATGGACTCCTACTTAAGTTCATTCCCCAAGTGTGGTATTCATGGGGGCACCGACGGCAGGGGATTTCAGCAGTCAATGCCTTCTGACGGTTATGCGACGGTAAACGCTATTCCTGCCTCTATCTTTGATCAAATTCGTCATAGATACACTTCGACGCTTGCAGAATTCTCTCGAGTGCGTGCAGCCATGGAAGGAACCTCGTTGAAAAAGTGGGATAAGCTGCCGGCAGAACTCAAAGATGGGTCATCCTCGCTTCCTTTTTGGATACATATCCGCTGTCAGGATACAACCGACTTCATGAAATCATTGATGTTTCTCAAGAGACTGCAAGAGCAACACATGGAAGACGCCCGTGCTGTCCCGCCGCCTGTCCTACGAACTGAGAGTGGTCTGCAGTTATTGAAAACAGGTGGCGCGGTTGACCCAAATGTTGGAAGTGAAGGTCTGGACATTGACCCTAAGCGAGAGAGAGACTTGTGCGCAGAGGCATGCAAGACAGAGGTGGTGCTACTACCCACGTATGTTTGTCTTGGTGCCCTTGGAGGCCGATTTGACCACGAAATGGCGGCCATCTCGGCCGTTTTGGAATTCAGTGAAGATGCGCATGTTGTGCTAACCAACTCCGGTAACACTTTATTCGCCTGCCAGCCTGATGGCTGGACGCAGGTGGTACGGCATGCACGTTGTGAAGGCTTGGTGTCTGGTCTTGTTAACTATGGTACCATGAAGGAATGCGAGGTCAGTGGACTGCAGTGGAATGTTGTTATTGGGCGGGGGAAACCAAGCGAATCGCGTGATTTGGTTCTGGGGTTTGGCAAGCTGATCTCGGCGTGCAATCCGATTCGCCACGAGGTTGTCACGATTGACCTGCGCTGCTTAATGCCCTTGACACAGCCCGCAAAGGAGTGTGGCGGTGGGGTAGCTGCCAACCACAACCCACCCACCATCTTTACTATTGAACGACGCAAAAAAGCTGAAAAAGAGGCAGGCTGCTAGGGTTGATTTCATATCATATTCGTTACTTTTTCTCTCCCATCTCTTGATATTATCGTTGTAAAGGACGAGTGAGCATTTTCAGCGGCTTTGTACTTGACTAAAAATATTGTGGGAGTGTACTGCTAGAGATAAGGCTTAGAGGATGATGGCTGCTCTTATTTAGATTTCCTGTTTTTTTTTATATGGTTACATCTATTTTTTCCCCAAATATCATCTTGTTAGGAAGCAGTGCGAGTATATATATATATATATATATATATATGTTATTGTTTGGTGTGGGGGATTAGTCTTGCTTGCTTTCATGTTTTTTTTCCTCTCACTCGCTAAACCCCCACTACCTTCTACGTGAAGGAGTTTTATGATTGTGCGGGATCTTAGGAGCTGCCACTTGGCCAGTTCACAAATGGATATCGGTGACTATAGAAGTCCTTTATGAATTTATGAGCTCTATTGGTGCATGAGGGTTGGATATGGAGACGGCAGTTGGGTCAAAGGTTGCGTTGCCTTTCTTCCTCTTGCTGGACAGAATGCGTGTGATTGCCATCCTGGGAAGCGAAGACTGCATGGGCATTGTCTTTTCAAGCAATCACTTATCTATGAATAGGGGTTTCTCATACTCCATTTGGTGCGCTTTTCATGTGGTTCCATGTGATGTGTGATGTATATCAGGAGGGGACTCTTCACTTTTCACATTTTTCTTGTTGCTTTTTGCTTCTCTTAATACTCGGAACACACACGTATATATAATATACTCAAAAGGAACGTAAAGCATGGCCAAGAAGCACCTGAAGCGCCTTTATGCCCCCAAGGACTGGATGCTGAGCAAGCTCACGGGCGTGTTCGCTCCACGTCCCCGTGCTGGACCCCACAAGCTGCGCGAGTGCATGACTCTCATGATTATCATCCGCAACCGTTTGAAGTACGCGCTGAACGCCAATGAAGCCCAGATGATTCTCCGCCAAGGCCTTGTGTGTGTAGATGGCAAGCCCCGCAAGGATACAAAGTATCCGGTTGGCTTCATGGACGTCGTGGAGATCCCAAAGACTGGTGATCGCTTTCGCGTTCTATACGATGTGAAGGGCCGTTTCGCACTGGTGAAGGTAAGTGAGGCTGAGGGGAACGTCAAACTACTGAAGGTTGAGAACGTCTACACGAGCACTGGCCGCATTCCTGTTGCCGTAACACACGACGGGCACCGCATCCGCTACCCTGACCCCCGCACCCACCGCGGAGACACTTTGGTGTACAACATGAA